TTATTCCCCACATTTCCCCCCAAGTGTGAAGGACTGTGTCTGCCCCAAATGGTGGGCCTTACACCCTTCTCCTACTGAGTGTGCTGTGCCCTCAGGTGCACCGTATCCCCACCCCCTATTGACCATTTTGGACCCTATTGCTGCCTCCCCCCAAATCCAGGCCCCCATCTGCTCACATGAGTGTGGGGCCCTGTCCGCTGAATGCAGTTGACAGCTGCAGAGACATCACAGGGAAAGGGTAAAAACAGTCTCTCTCTGAGAACTCACCCTCCAAATGTGATGAGGGAAGAAAGCAGTCACGCCCTTCTCCTGCCAACCACACTGCATGATATGTGACAGCCTGACACTGGAATGAGCTCTGTCGGCTCAATTCTGCCCTCCGTTACTGGGGTGCAGCTGCAGGGTAAATTGAGATTAGACCCATAAACTGTGTCCTGAACCTGAATTCCAAGACTTCCAGGTTCATCAGCACTCCCCCATCACACTGGACAATCATAGAATCATAGAATCATAGAATATCAGGGTTGGAAGGGACCCCAGAAGGTCATCTAGTCCAACCCCCTGCTCGAAGCAGGACCAATTCCCAGTTAAATCATCCCAGCCAGGGCTTTGTCAAGCCTGACCTTAAAAACCTCTAAGGAAGGAGATTCTACCACCTCCCTAGGTAACGCATTCCAGTGTTTCACCACCCACTTAGTGAAAAAGTTTTTCCTAATATCCAATCTAAACCTCCCCCACTGCAGCTTGAGACCATTACTCCTCGTTCTGTCATCTGCTACCATTGAGAACAGTCTAGAGCCATCCTCTTTGGAACCCCCTTTCAGGTAGTTGAAAGCAGCTATCAAATCCCCCCTCATTCTTCTCTTCTGCAGGCTAAACAATCCCAGCTCCCTCAGCCTCTCCTCATAAGTCATGTGTTCTAGACCCCTAATCATTTCTGTTGCCCTTCGCTGGACTCTCTCCAATTTATCCACATCCTTCTTGTAGTGTGGGGCCCAAAACTGGACACAGTACTCCAGATGAGGCCTCACCAATGTCGAATAGAGGGGAACGATCACATCCCTCGATCTGCTCGCTATGCCCCTACTTATACATCCCAAAATGCCATTGGCCTTCTTGGCAACAAGGGCACACTGCTGACTCATATCCAGCTTCTCGTCCACTGTCACCCCTAGGTCCTTTTCCGCAGAACTGCTGCCTAGCCATTCGGTCCCTAGTCTGTAGCTGTGCATTGGATTCTTCCATCCTAAGTGCAGGACCCTGCACTTATCCTTATTGAACCTCATCAGATTTCTTTTGGCCCAATCCTCCAATTTGTCTAGGTCCTTCTGTATCCTATCCCTCCCCTCCAGCGTATCTACCACTCCTCCCAGTTTAGTATCATCCGCAAATTTGCTGAGAGTGCAATCCACATGCTGTGTAGGGGATTGGGCCAACTGTCAGTTGGGGGAATAGAGGGATGCAGAATTTCTGTGAGTTCAGGTGGCTACAGTTCTTCTAATGCTGTGTGATTTCCAGTAATCAGCAGAAGGCACAGAGCCAGCCTCCTTGTAAACATTTTACTTTCAGTTCCAATTGACTATTTATACTGCAGGAAGCAAACACAGCAAAGCTTCATCAGGAGCTGTGTTTGCTGTTGATTCTGCTAGAGAACAGGAGGTAGGTGACATTCTTTATTACAAGAAACTGGAAAATTTATTGGAACAAAAATCTCTGGGCCAGTCCTGGAGAGCCTTTGTCAGGGAAACTGCATGGGGGTTCAGTGGAGTAAAAGGGAATAAAGATCATTGAAAACTGAGTAAGAGCAAAGTAAGGAGCTCAGAATCTAAACAATATTGATTGATTTTCACACTGATGGCAACAGATAGATGCTGGCATGTCCCTGACACAATCAGGACAGAGCTTTAATGATTTGTGTAGAAATGCCCGAGATAAATGTAGCAGGACATTTTACAACATGCAGAGCTGTGATTGCTGCTACCAACTCCTGCCTTTCATATTTACCTCCCAGTGTCCAAACTGTTAGAGAAGCATCCTGGTAATGACTAGAATAGCCACCCCGGTAGTGAGGTGTAAGCTAGGGCACTATCCTTTATGGGAAATTTGTACAGTATTGTTAAAGGAATATCTAAGACGTGGACTTCATTAACTGTGTTTATTCAGTCCTCTTTTTTGCTAACAGTAAATGCCAAGTCTTCTGTGGGGTCTAAATGGGCAATGAGCTTTCATCTGTTTCATCCACATATTATCATGAGAGTTTTAAATGTTTGGCAGCCTGAGCATTTTGGTGACATTCTGCAGATTTATGCAGCACATTATGTGATTGAAACGCTTCTTAAAATTTTCCTGATGCCACAAAGACACAGGGGCTACTCTACACAGAAAGGACCCGGGAGCTGTCTTTCTAGTTTACTCCTGTAGTCTGATTACAAAGACTCCAGTGACACAGTACTTTCCTAGTCCTTATATCTTCCTTGATTTTTTCAAACAGTATTAAAATTAATACTGAACTCAGCAGGTCTGTGAATTACTGGGGAGGTCACAATCATTTTTTATTTCAGTGTTCATTTTATCACCTAGGCTGGAATGATTTAATTTCAGGACCTCATCCTAAAAACACACGCACAAGCTTAACAAGCGAGTAATCACATTGAACATAGTAAAGTGAAGCACAGGTGTAAGTCTTTGCAGGACTGGGGCCATAATTAGTGGATATCAGTCAAGGCTGATTTCTGCCTATTTGGGCATCCAAAATCCCTTTAAAACCATGATTTAAATGATTAATAACACTGAAAATTCTAATGACCAATAGCTGAAATGTAAACAGGGAAGGTTAAAAGCCATGTGATGCACTCCTGGCCCCTTGTACTCTTCATTGCTCTCAGGGAATGTCTGCACAGTAGCTGGGAGGTGTAATTCCCAGCTCGGGTAGATGTACACATGCTAGTTCTGGTTAAGTTAGGGCCTATAAATAGCAGTGGGGTCATAGCAGCACAGCTGAGGGCTCTGGCTAGCCACCCGAGTACACACCAGTCCAATCCCCTGGGTATGTACTCGGGTGGCTAGCCGTGCTGCTGCTGGAGATGCTCTGGTCACACTGCTACTTTTGGTGGGCTAGCTTGAGCCATCTACCCACAGCTGGTGTGTACACATATCCCTGATGTCACCAGTTCCAAGGGCCAATAAGAAATAGGAAGATTTTGTCCAGTGCACTGATTGTATTTCTGACCCTGACATGAATCTCAACTTCCCAGTTATTCCATTTTGAATAACGGGTGTCTGAATCTCTTCTAAACCCCAAAGCAGTAAGCATCGAACCTCACCAAGGGATACAGCCAATTCCAGAACCTGGTAACCAAATAAATTATGTTTGGAAATTTGATTTAAATTGGAATGATGAGGGGCCAATATGAGTCTCATCAGGTGTCAAATCTCACCCCAACACATTCATGAACTGTCAGGCAGAGGGGACCATTCAGATCATCTGGTCTGACTGTTGGACTAGATTAATAACTGGTATATTTCTGATATGGGAAATATAAGAAAGAGTGACTCCGCAGCAGACCCCAGAAATTGGCCTGACCATTAAAAAGAAATATGTTTCTCAGCCACCTTGATGAGTCTGTGTTGATTGAAATTGCCTGTCAGTTTTACAAGGTCAGTGTTAATTGTAGAAGTACATCCAGAGACTAAGAGTTTGTTCTAAAAGTAACAAGATAATAGCTGTCCTTTATGGCTGGTACAACTTTGTTTTCCTGAACTCCAGAATAACTCCACCCCCCCCCCACTCTTGCATGCTTATCTTTTTTGTTTCCTTTTAAATGGAACAAGTGGAATAAATAGACTTATTGAAGTCTGCCATGTCCCACTGTTTTTAGAATAGTTATGTTAAAGGATTAAAATGCAGATGTGACAGGATATACGTTGGAGTGTGATTGTATGTGTGTATGATTGAATGAGAAATGAAATATTAAAGGTTAAGGTGCCAGCCTGAGAATTACAACCCCAACATTAATTGGCTGAAGAAATGCATGGAGTGAGATGATCGGGTGACCCCAAGGGCAAACCGGAATCCACAATCCACCCCCAAGCACCCAAGCATGTGAAGAACTGAAGAACAAGATAACACCAAGCTGTCATGGATGTTCCATCTGCTGATTAAACATCGCTTCAAACGTGGGAATAGTGATTGACTATCACTTCAAATGTCAAAGCAGCATGATGAAGCAGATTCCATGGACTGGAATAGGAATGAATTCCTACAAAAACAGAACCTAGAGACGGAGAACTCCGAGTCTGGTTCTGCAACCATCCTCCAGGAGCATCAGGTGCGCACCTGACAAGACTCAACTCCATCCTCGTGTCCAGGCTACCTGGCCAGTGACTTGGCCCAAGCAACCCCCAGGCTGGTAACTATAACTACCTTGCAGAACTCTGTGTGAATGAATGAATGAATGAATGAATGAATGTGTGAGAGAATGTGTGAGAGAAATGAAATGTTATAGCTATAACTGATTGCTTATTCTGATTCTTTTTGTATTCACAAAAAATACGGCATTTTGCCTTCTCCCCCTTAATAAGATCCTGCTGGTTTTTATTCTATTGGTATAACATGACCTCCTGCATAACCCAGGCCAAAGAACCCACCCAGTTGGTCCTGTATCACACCAAAAAATTCTTTCTGGGTTAGAGTGTATCTTTTAGAAATATGTCTAGTATCTACTTAAGGACTGGTTTCAGAGTAACAGCCGTGTTAGTCTGTATTCGCAAAAAGAAAAGGAGTACTTGTGGCACCTTAGAGACTAACCAATTTATTTGAGCTGTAGCTCACGAAAGCTCATGCTCAAATAAATTGGTTAGTCTCTAAGGTGCCACAAGTACTCCTTTTCTTTTTACTTAAGGACTGTAAGTTATGGAAAATCCAAGATATCCCTCAGAAAGCAGGTCCTCTCTCTGTTAAAAATTTAAGCCTTATTTTTACTCTGAATTTGCCTTGTTTCAGCTTCCAACCACTGGATCTCATTCTGCCTTTGTCTGCTAGATTAAAGAGCCCGTGGCTGACTAAGATCTCTCCCCATGTAAGTATTTACTGCTTGTGATCAAATCACCTATTAACCTTTAATCTTCCCTGTGACGGGTTGGATCACAGACCCCCCCCGCCCCCCGGGAATTGCCACCTGATGTGCCAAGACTACTTCTGCCCCTGCTTTCCCTGCCAGGTTGGGACTCCAGCACCCTGTCTTGCTGAGCCAGACATGCCCAGTCTGCTCCAACACAGACCCAGGGTCTGATCCACGTGCCCCAAACCGCTGCAGGCTTAATCAAAAGCCAATTACAGAAGTGTTCTTGTCGTTAACACTCAGATGCCCAAATCCCAGTGCGGTCTAAACCCAAATAAATCCATTTTACCCTGTATAAAGCTTATACAGAGTAAACTCATAGATTGTTCGCCCTCTATAACACTGATAGAGATATTTGCACAGTTGTTTGCCTCCCCCCAGATATCAATCCACACTCTGGGTTAATTAATAAGTAAAAAGTGATTTTATGAAATACAGAAAGTAGGATTTAAGTGGTTCCAAGTAGTAACAGACAGAACAAAGTGAATTACCCAGCAAAATAAAATAAAACAAGCAAATCTACGCCGAATACAGTAATACAACTGAGTACAGATAAAATCTCATCAATTCCAGTAAGCTTCCTTTTACAGATTAATCTCCTAGTCTGGGTCCAGCAATCACTCACACTCCCTGCAGTCACTGTCCTTTGTTCCAGTTTATTTCAAGTCTCTTTGGGGGTAGAGGGGCTCCCTCTTTAGCCAGCTGAAGACCAAATGGAGGGGTCTCCCACTGGCTTAAATAGACTTTCTCTTGTGGGTGGAGACCCCCTCCTCTCTCCTATGCAAAGTCCAGCTCCAAGATGGAGTTCTGGAGTCACCTGGGCAAGTCACATGTCCATGCATGACTCTCAGTTTTCACAGGCAGCAGCCATTGCCCACATGGTATCTTGAATGTCTCCAGGAAGACTTCTTATGTGGATTTGAGCCTTCCAAGATTCATTATCCTTTAAGTGCTTCTTGATTTGCACATTCTTTTCTCCAGGAACTGACCAAATGCTCCACTAAGGTTATTTAGAAATCAAACCTGTACACAGCCAATATTCATAACTTCAAATACAAAAATGATACATGCATGCAGATAGGATTAATAGATTCAGTAGATCATAACCTTTACATAGATATGCAACAAATCATGTATATTCATAAGCATATTTCCATAAAGCCTTATGGGGGGCACCGTCACACTCCCCACTCCCTGTTCCGTCACATCATGGTATTATCTGGGTGAAGATATACATTTCGAGATGGGCGGCCAGGTGGGGTTACCAGAAAAGGAAATGTAACAGCACACTAAACTCGGGACCAGACTGGAAGCCGTAGAGACCTCCCGCAGATCCAAAGGGAATCCGGGGACTCTTGTAGCCTAGTGGGCCGATCTCTGGGCAGCTGTGGCCTGGCCAGCCCCAGCCACCGAAATCGAAACCAGCATCCGCACATGCAGCCTGCCAGCATGAATGTGGTGTGTGTGTGTGTGTGTGTGTGTGTGTGTGTGTGAGAGAGAGAGAGAGAGAAAGAGAGAGAGTATAATTGTGCAAATAAGGGAAGCAATAAATCAAGCCTCAGTGCTGCTCTAGTTCACCCTTTGTTTGTGGTTATTCCTGGCCTGATTCCCAGAACAGGCAAAACCCGTGACTGAGCCAGGTGGGGAGCAGAAGCCGCCTCCCCAGCCAGACTCTCTCAGGCAGCTGCAGGGCATGAGGCATGCCCTTCTGCTCCCCCCCCCCCCAACTCCAGGTCCCTGACTGCCAGAGACAGCAGCAGAATGTGCTGGGGAGGGGCACAGCGGGAGGACAAACTGAAACTGAAACCATGGGGTGGGGAGAGCAAAGTGACCCCGGGGCTGGGCACAGGGGGTACACATGACCTGTCCTTTAGATCGTGCCCCCCATTATGGGGAGGCACCAGTTGAATATGGGGCACCCTGAGAGAGGGGGTGAGCAGGAGTGGATTGAGGGTGGGGCATAGGACAGAGTGGGGGAGTCAAACACCCCCCAGAAAATCTAGAAAGTCGGTGCCTATGCCTTAAAGAGATCTTGTCCTGCATTCAGTGCTGCACTAACAACCTCGTCATGAGTTCAGCTGCACTCTTTTATTTCAAAAATGGTAGCTAAGAGATTATTGCATCTAACATGGAAAAACTCAGAAATCTCTTAATCAGTTTTGCAGTGGGGGGCAGGGGGTGGGTTGGGGAGGAGAAATGATGCTACTGGCTGAGTCCTCATTGTAAACAAAGTGATGCACTGCCATAACCATACAGCTGAGGGTAGCCTCGGATTCCTCCTTACCTGTAAGGGGTTAAGAAGCTCAAATAACCTGGTTGGCACCTGACCAAAAGGACCAATGGGGAAAGAAGATACTTTCAAATCGAGGCGGGGGGGGGAGGCTTTGTTTGTGCTCTTTGTTTGTGTGTCCTCTGGGAGCCAGGCAGAAAAAAGCATCTCTTAAAAAACTGCCTAAAAAGAATTACTAAGATAGTAAGTAAAGCCAAAAAAGGCATCAGATTATCTTTTGTTTTAGCTTGTGAATTTTCCCTTTGCTAGATGGAGGTTTATTCCTGTTTTCTGTAACTTTGAAACTAAGTCCAGAGGGAGTTCCTCTGTGTTTTTGAATCTTTTGCTACCCTGTAAAGTTATCTTCCATCCTGATTTTACAGAGGTGATTCTTTTACCTTTTCTTTAAGTAAAATTCTTCTTTTAAGAACCGGATTGATTTTCAGTGTCCTAAAGACCCAGGGGTTTGGGTCTGTGCTCACTTTGTAACCAATTAGTGAGGATATTATTCTCAAGCCTCCCCAGGAAAGGGGGTGAAGGGGCTCAGGGAGGTATTTTGGGGGAATAGGAACTCCAGGTGGTCCTTTCCCTGAATCTTTGTCTAAATCACTTGGTGGTGGCAGCAATACCATCTGTCCAAGGACAAGGGATTTGTACCTTGGGGAAGTTTTAACCTAAGCTGGTAGAAATAAGCTTGGGGGTCTTTCATGCAGGTCCCCACATCTGTACCCCAGAGTTCAGAGTGGGGAGGGAACCCTGACACGCACAGAGACCATTTCTATTTTAATGACAGTACCAGGTTTGCATGAACTTGTGCTGGCTGGAATTTAATGGCACAATTTTGCTCTTCAACCTACTGTATCTTCTTTTCTAAAACCGCGAAAGTGAAACTGAAAAACAGAATCACAAGGCAGTGTTAACAGAGAATTCAAATGCAGCAGTTGGGGAATTCAAACATTAACATTCCTACGCTGACAGCAGTTTTCACTCCCAAGCGTGGCTTGCTTCCACAGTATTGTCTCTGTGTTGATTCAGTTGGATACACCCCTCATTGTATTGCACTGTGCATAAGGGGTGCAATGGGACAGGGCAGTTTGTTTCCCAAACACATGAAAGCTGATGCCTTCTCAAGACATGAAACCAGTTGCCCCATTCCCACTGCAATCTGCTACATGCTATTGAAGATCTGCTGACCTTCTATGCATTTAGCCCAATTCAGTATGGTATTGAGTTCAGCCAAATTGGTGAAAACCAGGATTACAGCACATGAAGAGTGTTTGCACAGGGGTTTGCACTGGGTTAAGTGAATTGGTTTTAAAACACCTTCTTTAGTTGAAGAGCTGTAACTCTGTTTGTAGACAGCCTTAGCGAAATCAATGGAAGTTAGGAGCTAAATACCTTGAAAGTCTGGGCCAAAGTGCTGTTTAGGATACATACCTAGAAAAATCATCATAAAATACTATTTGCCATATTCATATCCATATCAAGTTACTTGTCTTCTCTCAGTTCAGTGTCTTGAGGCCATAATTAGAGTTGGAAAATGGATAGTTTTTAAACAGATTTGTTAATATGCACTTTTGCCAAGTCTTGTGATTTTTATCTTGAATCTTGTGATATTTTCTTAAAGTCCCAGCTCCTGGAATTTATATCTAGGCTTTGTGCTTTCAGAGGGAAGCTGGAAAAATGGCCCCGACAGGCTCAGTGACCAAACAGCAAATAGAAATCCTGAGATTAAAAAAAAAGATTCAGTGTTGGGTTCTTTTTAAATCAGTCTCATCATTTTGGAGGTTGGCAATCCTGAGTTTTGATTTATATATTTTCAAACCTTAGAGGAGACAGGAAGCCTGTGCTGAAACATGTTACCTGGATGTGGATGGCTCTGGGGGATTTAAATGGGTTTTGGATTAGATCCTAAGTGTGAAATAATTGTATATTACGTGGCTGTTAACATCTGGTCTAAGAATTTCTTATACCTGATACTGATAAAGACCAGGGCCTGGATAAATACACTGGTGGTAATGTAGACATGGGCTGAGATGCTGATAATCACAGTTACTGTGAGTTACTGATCCACTTTAGTCTGTAACTTACACACTGTTAGAGCCACATTTTCAAAATCTCAGCACCCACTTAGCAGTGGTGAGCTGGAGCCAGTTCGCACTGGTTCTCTAGAACCGGTTGTTAAATTTAGAAGCCCTTTTAGAACCGGTTCTAAAAGGGCTTCTAAATTTAACAACTGGCCAAAAGGGCACCTTAGGCGCTGACTCCACTGGTGCTCCAGCCCTGGAGCAGCCAAGAGGAAAATTTGGTGGGTGCAGAGCACCCACCAGCAGCTCCCTGCCCCACCCCCAGCCCCAGCTCACCTCCGCTCTGCCTCCACCTCCTCGCCTGAATGCGCTGCCCCACTCTGCTTCTCTGTCCCCACCCCCAGGCTTCCCATGAATCAGCTGTTCGGTGGGAAGCTAGGGAGGATTGAGAAGCAGGCGACGGCTTCCCGCTCAGGCCCAGGGAGGAGGAGGCAGAGCGGCGGTGAGCTCAGGCAGGGCGGGGGGGGGGGGGGGGGCGCAAGGAGGGCCGCCCGCGCCGCAGCAGGTAACCCGGGGGGGGCGCACAGGGGAACCGCTCCCCGCCCCAGCTCACCTCCGCCACCCTCGGCCTGAGCGGGAAGCCGCGGCCTGTTTCTCAGTCCTCCCCGGCTTCCTGCCGAACAGCTGATTCACGGGAAGCAGGGGGTGGGGGGCAGAGAAGCAGAGCGGGGCGGTGCATTCAGGGGAGGAGATGGAGCGGAGGTGAGCTGGGGCCGGGCGCGGGGCAGGGAGCTGCCGGTGGGGGCTCTGCACCCACCAATTTTCCCCGTGGGGGCTCCAGCCCCGGAGTACCCAGGGAGTCGGCACCTAAGGCGCCACTTTTGATGTGATCAGTGGGGGGAGCGGCCGCTCCCCCTGTTCCCCCCCAGCTACGCTCCCCCACCCCTAGGAGCCAGACGGACATGTCGGATGCTTCCTGGGAGCTGCCCCAGGTAAGCACCTCTGGGACTTCCCACCTCGCCCCCCCGGCAGGTACCTCTGGCTCTTAGGGGTGGGGTGAGCACCCACTACAGTGGCCCACGAGACCCTCCTGCCTGGTTCTGGGGGCAGTCAGGGGACAGGAGAGGGGGGTGGATGGGGCAGGGATCCTGGAGGGGGCGTCAAGGAAAGCAGGGGGGTTGGATGGAGCACTGTAGCACTTAATGAAGATGCTCTACACCGATGGGAGAGAGCTATCCCATTAGCTTAGTTAATCCACCTCTGTGAGAGGTGGTAGCTATGTTTGTGGGAGAAGCTCTCCTGCCAACATAGTGCTGTCTAGATCAGGGGTTAAAGTCGGTATAACTATGTTGCTCAGAGGTGTGGACTTTTCACACCCCTGAGCAATGACGTTATACTGAAGTAACTCTGTAGTGTAGACCTGCCCTTAAATGTCAGCGATATTCAGACTTCAATGAGCAGAGAAACAGGTTGAGTTACACCATCCCCTCTCATCTCTGTTTCCTCCGAGGACAGCCATGGAAAGTCAAGAACGACTTGAGGAAACTGATACGGTACCTCACTGTTTTGATTTTGTCTCAAAGGAAAAGAGGGAAGGTGGGAGTGTGGGGAGGGGCAGGAGGGATGGGAGGGAGCATAGGGAGAGGCAAGAGGGAACAGAGGGAGGGGGCAGGGAATCAGAAGGGGGAACAGGAAATAGAGAGGAGAGGACAAGGGGACAGGAGGCAGTAATAGTGTTACTGGAGGAGGCATGGGCAGGGGGGAGGAGGGAATAAAGGGAGGGACAGAAGGGAATAGAGGGATGGGAGGGATCACGGGGAGGGGCAGGGGAGGGGTCAGGAGGGAACAGAGGTTGGGGAAGGAGCATGGGGAGAAGAGGAGGGAAGTGAAAGGATACAGGGAGGGGGAGGAGGGAATAAAGGGAGGGACAGAAGGGAATAGAGGGATGGGAGGGATCACGGGGAGGGGGCAGGAGGGAACAGAGGTTGGGGAAGGAGCATGGGGAGAAGAGGAGGGAAGTGAAAGGATACAGGGAGGGGGAGGAGGGAATAAAGAGGGGGGAGAAGTATGGGGAGGGGGCAGAGTGAAAGAAGGATGGAAGGGGCAGAGGGAGAGGAAGGAGGGAATACAGAGTGGGGAGGGAACATGGGGTTAGGCAGGAAGGAATAGAGGGAGGGGAGGCATCACGGAGGGGCAGGAAGGATTACAGGAACTGGAGGATGCATGGGGAGAGGGCAGAGGAATGGAGGAAGGGGAGGGGGCACCGAGAGGGACAGGAGGAAATAGAGAAAGGGGAAAGGATTTGGGGAGGGGGAGGACTAGCGACAGAGGGAGGGTCAATGGGGATGCAGGGGAGAAGGGGTGCAATGAATAGAGGCTAGGGATGATCCAGAGACGGCGGCTATAGCAGTTGTTACTTTGGGTATAACTGTGTCCTGTGCCCCTTGTTTTGCCTTCTAGGAAGACCCATCATTTGAATATACGGAGTCACAGGTATGTAGCTGGACCTGGGCTGAGATTGTATCATTAGCGGGGGGGATGCGTGGGCAGAATTAGGAGAGGGCTGGGGACACACTAGGTCCCTGTTCATTATTTCCAGCCCCAGACTGGCTCCCGTATCAATCTTTGTCTCTTTCTGTTCTGACTCATCACCCCACCATAGGGGATCTCCCATCCTAGAACCATCCCATCAACCCTTCCACAGAGCAGTCAGCCAAGACCCCTCTCCATTGATCTCCATGGCAGGAATGAATGAGCCTTCACCCACTGTTTCCCCCCTGCCTTGTTGGAACCCAGCCCCTCCACCTTCTAGCATCCCTACTCCACAATGGACCTGCCGCCTGTGAGACAGGCTGGGGAGGGTGAAGGGAGATGCACTTTTTGGATTTTAATGCTGTTTGTTTGCACCAGGTCTCTGAAGAATCTCCTCAGGCAATGAGATGTGCCAGGCAGGAACCCCAGGGAATTACCCCGGTGAGATGGGTGTTTATGCAGCAGCAGGGAATGCAGGGCCAGACAGGGCTGGGCGGGGCAGAGGACATGGAGCTGTGAAGGACTTTTCCTTTGGTCTCCCAGCTGCTCTCCAGACTCTGTCCCAGGCTGCCTTGCTGATCTCATGCCTCCACCTAGGGCCTGGGCCAGAGCTTAGGGGAGTCAATGGCCAAGTCCCCTGCATCCTCTCCCCGACTAATGGGGTTGAGCCCTAGCTGGGTCTGTGCTGAATTGTCCCCACCTTGATCAGTGATGCTCAAAGCCCTGGGCGGAGCTTGCCTGGAACTAACACATTGCCAGCAGCTTTTATCAGCCCTTTGTCCCCTGGCTGCACCAGAGCCCAGGCCCCTTCACCCTCCAACATCGTGTCACATATTCACAGGGTCTGGTCTAGGCCTGGCCTTTAGCCAGACCCAGGGGAGTGACCCCATTATTGTCCTGGTCCCCAAGGCCCTCACACAGTTCCACAGGGGCAGGCCCGGGCCTACACAACTCTGAAACTGGACCTTCAGCACCAGCGATCCCTGTCTATCTCTGTAGCTCCCTGCGATGAGTCCAGTCAAGCCTGACTCCTGGGGGAGATTTTTTTCTACCACTCAGGGCTACAATGCCCCCAGTCAGTATCTGCAGGGACAGCAGGCAGCCTTTTCAAAACAAGAAACAGTTGATTAGTCACCTGAAGCACAGAATCTGAAAGTCCTTGGGTCAGGGTGAGAGAGGCAGAAGGCAGAGGGAATAGGGCTCCGCCACGCCCTGCTTCTCTGCCCTCCATCCCTGCTGTCTGTCCCCTTTGTCTCCCAATCCCAGTGCCCGTGTGTCTGCACCTTGCTCATCCCAACAAAGAAACCTGACACCGTATCCCTTTGTTCTTCACCTTGGAGTGGGGTGAGAGAGAGAGAGAGAGGGGAGGAGGCAGAGACTCTAGGAGAGTCTCTAGGTTGGGGCTGCCAAACACTTTCCATTCCAAATTATAAAGGATCCCTGGGACCTTTCCTGTGAGGAAGCTCTCACATATCAGTTTGCAAGAGCTTTGGATATTCAGTGGTGAACACTGCCTTGAACTAATGAGGGTGCCTTTCCTCCGCCCTGTGGAATTCCCTTCAGATGTAGCTGAGTTGCAAAGTGTTAAGAATCACCCTTCCCCTTCTCCCACCTGTGTTCCGCAGGTCAATGTTGGCAGCACCAAAATCACACATACTGGGCCTGTACTGGAAGATAGTTACTGTGATGCCAATTTTTCAAAAGGGCTCCAGAGGTGATCCTGGCAATTACAGGCCAGTAAGCCTGACTTCAGTACCGGCAAACTGGCTGAAACTACGAACAAAATTGTCAAATATGGATTAACATAATTTGTTGGGGAAGAGTCAACATGATTTTTGTAAAGGGAAATATTGCCTCACTGATCTACTAGAATTCTTTGAGGGGATTAACAACCCCTTGACAAGAGGGATCCAGTGGATATAGTGTACTTAGATTTTCAGAAAGCCTTTGACAATGTCTCTTAACAAAGGCTGTTAAGCAAAGTAAGCAGTCATGGGATAAGAGGGAAAGTCCTCTCATGGATTGGTAACTGGTTAAAAGATAGGAAACAAAGGGTAGGTATAAATGTTCAGTTTTCAGAGTGGAGAGAGGTAAATAGTGTTGTCCCCCAAGGGTCTGTACTTGGACCAGTCCTATTTAACACATTCATGAACGATTTGGAAAAAGGGGTAAACAGTGAGGTGGCAAAATTTGCAGATGATTAAAAAAAAAAACTGTTCAAGATAGTTAAGTCCCAGGCAGACTGCAAAGAGCTACAAAAAGATCTCTCAAAACTAGGTAACTGGACAACAAAATGGCAGATGAAATACAATGTTGATCAATGCAAAGTAATGCACATTGGGAAACAGAATCCCAACTATACATATAAAATACCCCTCAAGAGATCTTGGAGTCATGAATAGTTCTCTGAAAACATCCGTTAAATGTGCAGCTGCAGTCAAAAAAAAAAAAAAAACGAACAGAATGTTGGGCATCATTAAGAAAGGGATAGATAATAAAACAGAAAATATCATATTGCCTCTCTACAAATCCATGGTACGCCTACAACTTGAATACTGTGTGCAGATTTGGTTGCCCCATCTCAAAAAAAGATATGTTGGAATTGGAAAAGGTTCAGAAAAGGTCAACAAAAATGGACTGTGGACTGGTCCAGGCTGAGGTTGATGGTGGAATGGAAATTGTTGAAATCATGGTGGAATTCCTCAATGACTTCTTTTCCATGGGTCCAGATGATGAAGATGTCATCAATATAGCACAAGTAGAGTAGGGGAATTAGGGGACGAGAGCTGAGGAAGCGTTGTTCTAAGTCAGCCATAAAAATGTTGGCATACTGTGGGGCCATGCGGGTACCCATAGCAGTGCCGCTGATTTGAAGGTATACATTGTCTCCAAATGTGAAATAGTTATGGGTGAGGACAAAGTCACAAAGTTCAGCCATCAGGTTTGCTGTAACATTATCAGGGATACTGTTCCTGACGGCTTGTAGTCCATCTTTGTGTGGAATGTTGGTGTAGAGGGCTTCTACATCCACAGTGGCCAGGATGGTGTTTTCAGGAAGATCACCGATGGATTGTAATTTCCTCAGGAAGTCAGTGGTGTCTCAAAGATAGCTAGGAGTGCTGGTAGCGTAGGGCCTGAGGAAGGAGTCTACATAGCTAGATAATCCTGCTGTCAGGGTGCCAATGCCTGAGATGATGGGGCATCCAGGATTTCCAGGTTTATGGATCTTGGGTAGCAGATAGAATGCCCCAGGTCGGGGTTCCAGGGGTGTGTCTGTGCGGATTTGTTCTTGTGCTTTTTCAGGGAGTTTCTTGAGCAAATGCTGCAGTTTCTTTTGGTGACCCTCAGTGGGATCAGAGGGTGATGGCTTGTAGAAAGTGGTGTTGGAGAGCTGCCTCTTGTTCATATTCTGACCTATTCATGATGACGACAGCACCTCCTTTGTCAGCCTTTTTGATTATGATGTCAGAGTTGTTTCTGAGGCTGTGGATGACATTGTGTTTTGCACAGTTGAAGTTATGGGGCAAGTGATGCTGCTTTTCCACAATTTCAGCCCGTGCACGTCGGCGGAAGCACTCTATATAGAAGTCCAGTCTGTTGTTTCAACCTTCAGGAGGAGTCCACCTAGAATCCTTCTTTTTGTAGTGTTGGTAGGAAGGTCTCTGTGGATTAGTATGTTGTTCAGAGGTGTGTTGGATATATTCCTTGAGTCAGAGACGTCGAAAATAGGATTCTAGGTCACCACAGAACTGTATCATGTTCGTGGGGGTGGAGGGGCAGAAGGAGAGGCCCCGAGATAGGACAGATTCTTCTGCTGGGCTAAGAGTATAGTTGGATAGATTAACAATATTGCTGGGTGGGTTAAGGGAACCATTGCTGTGGCCTCTTGTGGCATGTAGTAGTTTAGATAGTTTAGTGTCCTTTTTCTTTTGTAGAGAAGCAAAGTGTGCGTTGTAAATGGCTTGTCTAGTTTTTCTAAAGTCCAGCCACTAGGAATTTTGTGTGGAAGGTTGTTTCTTTATGAGAGTATCCAGTTTTGAGAGCTCATTCTTAATCTTTCCCTGTTTGCTGTAGAGGATGTTGATCAGGTGGTTCCGCAGTTTCTTTGAGAGCGTGTGGCACAAGCTGTCAGCATAGTCTGTGTGGTATGTAGTCTGTAATGGATTTTTTACCTTCAGTCCTTTTGGTATGTTGTCCATCTGTCTGCATTTGGAAAGGAAGATGATGTCTGTCTGTATCTGTATGAGTTTTTTCATGAAGTTGATAGATTTCCACTCCATACAGCTAAATGCAGTGCCTTGCACAATGACAGGTTTCAGAGTAGCAGCCATGTTAGTCTGTATTCGCAAAAAGAAAAGGAGTACTTGTGGCACCTTAGAGACTAACCAATTTGTTTGAGCATAAGTTTTCGTGAGCTACAGCTCACTTCATCGGATGCATTTAGTGGAAAATACAGTGAGGAGATTTATATACACACAGAACATGAAAAAAATTGTGTTATCATACACACTGTAAGGAGAGTGATCACTTAAGATGAGCTATTACCAGCAGGAGAGCGGGGGGGAGGGGGGAGAAAACCTTCATAATCAAGGTGGGCCATTTCCAGCAGTTAACAGGAACGTCCGAGGAGCAGTGGGGGGGGTGGGGGAAATAAGCATGGGGAATATGTTCCTCGGATGTTCCTGTTTACTTCTAGAAATGGCCCACCTTGATTATGAAGGTTTTCTCCCCCCTCCCCCCCGCTCTCCTGCTGGTAATAGCTCATCTTAAGTGATCACTCTCCTTACAGTGTGTATGATAACACCCATTTTTTCATGTTCTGTGTGAGTATAAATCTCCTCACTGTATTTTCCACTGAATTCATCCAATGAAGTGAGCTGTAGCTCATGAAAGCTTATGCTCAAATAAATTTGTTAATCTCTAAAGTGCCATAAGTACTCCTTTTCTTTTTGCGAATACAG